CCCCACACTGCACTCCCCCAGCGCAGGCGCACACCCTCGGGGCAGACACCTGTGCTCAGCGCCTGGCCTTCCGAGCTAGGTCTGGGTGGTGAGCAGCCTTCCAGCCGTGAAGCACCCTCCGAGCCCCGCTCCGGTGCTTCCCTGGAGCCCTCAGGCCACACCAGGCCGCGTTCACCAGCAGCACCTCATGTCCTGCCCTCGGGCTGCGGGGCAGGTGTGGCCAGCTCTGACCATGGTGGGGAAACAGGCTCAAGGGAGCCACGGGACCTGCCGAGGACGCAGGGCTAACCAGCCGCGCGCCACTGAGCCACCGTGGGCTTGGGCTCCGGCCACGGAGGTGGAGATTCCCCTGCCCAGAGCAAGCGGCTGCTGCGGCTCCGTCCGTGGGCCCTGCCTGCCCCGGCCTCACCCTCTGCTGTCCCCTCAGTCTCCGGCCAGACCGTCTTTCTGAAGAACATCTCCACAGACATGTCGGGCTACTACATCTGCACCTCCAGCAACGAAGCGGGGACGGACTTCTGCAACATCACCGTGGCTGCCAGACCCCGTGAGAGCCGTGGGGCGGGTGGCTGGCCGTGGTCCCAACTCAGCTGAGCCCCAGGGAGATGAACTGGGCCTCCCTTAGGGCCACTCACTGGCAGGGCAGCATGGGGACCTGGGCAAGATGCCTCCTGTCGCAGGCCTGCCCTCACCTGGGGGCCAGTCTAGTTCCACTGGATCTTTGGAAGTGGAGCCTGAGACTTCAGCACCTGGCCTTCTGGAGGGTCCCAGTCCTCTGCCCCGAGGGTCACTCAGTGATCATGGGGCTGTACCCAGAGACAGCTGCCATGGCCCGGGCCCATCTTTTTTTTTAGCTGGACGCCAGGTCTAGCTCTAGCATGAGCTAGGAGCTGGCGGGACTAACACCTGAGGTCTCAGAGCTTGGGTGACCCAGGGTGTTGAGGTACAGAACCAGGGACCAATCTGTCCCTTCCCTAACCTGAGGAGTGTCCCTGGCCTGACTGGTCACGGTCCTGTAGACTATATCTTTGGAGGGGTGTGGCCAGAAGCCAACAGTGCCACAGGCCCAGAGGCTGGGAGGGACCTGCCCCAGCCCCCTGCACTGCCCGCTGCCCCCTGGCACGAGCCACGTCAGGGGCTGGGGAGTGAGCTGCTCTGACCTGTTGCAGCCTCCATGAACGTGGCCCTGTATGCGGGCATTGCTGGGGGCGTGGTGGCAGCCCTCCTCCTCATCGGCATCATCATTTACTGCTGCTGCTTCCGGGAAAAGGATGACAAGGAGGTGGACAGGGAGGACACGAGGCCGTGAGTGTGGGGCCCAGCCATGGGGGGCCTGGGCAGCCCACTCCTCACAGGCACGTCCACCCCCTCTGGGGAACCTACTACGTGGGCACCCCTATTTTGTAGCTGAGAAAAGAGCAACTCACCCAACAGTCCCAGGGCTGGCTTCTGTGGTCTGTGCTTGGCCGGGGCCGGGCCTGGGCGGGTCCCTGTGCTGCTCCCTAGTGCCTGCAGGTCAAGTCTGTGGCACCTTCCTGCCCACTCCCTGCCTGACCCTCCCATGCAGGTCCCTTTGCAGTGGCGGTGGGGTGGCGGGGTGGAGGCTGCTCTTCCCATAGTCTGCAGGAGCCCAGCTTTCCGGTGCCCAGGTGAGGGACCTTTCCCCTCTGTCATCACTGCCTGCAGGAACCGGGCGGCTTACCAGGAGCCATCAGAGCAACTGAGAGAGCTTCCCAGAGGGAGGGAAGAGGAAGACGACTACAGGCACGAAGACCAGAGGAGCTCAGGGCGCGAATCCCCTGACCGTGCTGGACGGTGACAGGCCGCTGCAGCTGGGTGCAGGGAGGGTCGGGGCGTAGCCTCCTGCTTCTTGGCCTCCTTCTCTCCAGGCCCAGCTCTGTCCTCCAGCCCAGGCAGTGGTGGGAGCACTTCTTCCCCATGCTTGCTTCTGGGGGCCTGGCTGGCCTGGCTGAAGGAACCCCACCTCTGACCAACCCGCCAACCCACTCCCCTGAAAAATGACCCCTGCCCACGGCCACACCTAGTTCAGGGTCTGCCCCTAGACCTGGACCAGGCCACAGCCTCCAGCGGCTGAAGCTGGCGGGAGCTCCCGCAGGCGTGCACTGCATGTGGGCAGCCCTGCTCAGAACTGCCCGAGGACGCCATGCCAGCCCTGCAAGGGAGCCCAGCACCCAGAGGAGCACCCCACAGAGGGTTGTGCTTAGTGTGTTTTTGCTGAAAGAGTGAAAGAATAAATGAGTACGCGAAGGACTCCATTGTTCGCCTCACTCCCGGGCACACGCCAACTGGCCTTCAGCCTCCAGCTGTCCAGCCTCAGCTGGCCTGGAGTAGGAACCCCTGGGGCGCCCAGCCCTCACAGCTCCTGCTTCCCTGGAGTCCCCGCAGCGTGACTGGGAGCCTGTTTGGAAGGGCGGGCCTCCTTTGTGGGTCCTCTCTGATAGGACGGTGTGCCCCACTTGTCAGTAAGTTAACTGAATTGGTCTAAAATGAACACCCACGAGCTCACGGATGGTACAGGGGCCCCGTCCCCGTGGCTCCTCTCTTGGTGGCTCCCAGAAGGAGCCACCTTCTGCCTCCCAGCCCACATGGTGCGCCTGGTGGAGGCTTGCCAACGCCTCAGCCTCGGCCCCCCGGCCAACCGCCCTGCCTGCTGCCTGGGGCCACCCATGGCTGTTCTCATCCAAGCGCAGTTTACTGTTGAGCAAATGTCGACGTCTTGTCTGGATGACCCAAGTGAGGAAGAGAACCAGGAAATCAGACCCATCACGTCAGCACGACAGCAGGTGTTTTGTAGGCACCTACTGTATGCCTGTCCTCTTGGTCCCCAGGACACCCTTAGGTAGGAGCGAGGCTCTGGTGGAGGAAGTGACCCAGCAACACCATTACCTGAGGGAGAGACCCACAGGACGTGGTGGGGCAGACAGCAGCCCGAGGCAGTCTGGGTTCTTCAAAGAGGAGGCGATCTCCAGGCTGCACCTTGATGCAGTGGAGGTGAACTTATCTCAGTCTAGAAACTCAGTGGAATTTAGGTCGTTGCAGGTTCTCACTGTCAAAATCACCCCCAGTACGGTCTCCTTAGGCTGACTGGCACCCGTTCCCACTTCACGGTGTTCATGGACAGTTCAGAGACTCAAGGTGCTGCAGAAGAGTCAAAAGCCACCCAACTGGCCCTTGTTTGGCACTTGAGTCAGTTTTCACACAATCCTCCCTTGCGGTTTCAAATATTAAGGCATATGACAATGTTGGCTGTGCACGTCACCCAAGGACGGCCCTAGGCTGCTTAGAGATGTCCCCACAGGTCATATGTAGCTTTGGCTTGCTGCTCACATCCGTCCAGCAGATGGTTCTTTTTGTCCACCTGACCCAGGTCCATCTCACCTGGGGCCACCGTGCCCTCAGTGGCTGACTGGTCATGGAATCAGAATAGGACAGCTTGGTTACCATCAAGGAAACCTTGTCCTCTGTGTCAGTGTGACCAGACCTCTTATCACGTGCAGAAATTCTGGAATATTCTCTGGTCTTAGCCCCATCTCTGGATATTCTGACTTGTTTCGATTGGGGTGAGGCTAGGGATGGAGCCCAGGCCTTGTGCATGCCAGGCAAGCACACACCCTGGAGATTCCAGGGGGGGCCCTGGCACCTGCAGAAGTGGTTCTGTTGGGAAGTGTGGTCCTTGGGAGCAGCCTCCTTGGCACCCGTGGCTGCTGAGTTTGCGGAGAGAGCTCTCCTGTTCTCAGGTGCGTTTCCAGAAGGAGCTGCCCTGGTTCTACTTAGTTCTTCTGCACCTCCTCAGTCAACCACACCAGCCCTGCTCCTCTCTTCTTTCCCATTCCTACTCCAAAATTCCCCCAGCTCCAGGGAAGTCAGGAGGTCTGGAAATTGCTCTTTTTTCTTAAGGGGGTCCTAAAATCTCTGCTGTGGTCTAGGATGTATTGATTTAAAGCTTATCTCCACGAGGGCAAGCCGTATCCCTGGTTCTGTGGTGCTGGGTGGATTCTGTCTTAATAAACTAAACTGCCACACAACATGGACTGAATGTGTGTGAGGCCCACATCAACAGCAGTTTCCCTCTTGCCCACCCAGCAGGTTTTGAGCCAGACCCAGGTTCCCAGTCTTCTGCCTGTCTCCGTGGTGGCCTTGCATGCCCCAGGGCTGGGCACCTTCTGCCAGCAGCCAACAGAGCAGGTGTGCCAGGCAAGAGGCATAGCAGCTTCCTTAAACTGCCCCAGAGGGACCATGTCCGTTCTGTTGGGGCAAGCACTAGTCATAGCGCTGCCCACCATGCAGGGCAAGCAGGGAAATGCAGGCTCCTTGCCTTGTTAGACTGTTCAGGAGGAAAAGCCATTGGCTGCCGGTTCTGCCACAGCCACATCATTCTAGCTCCTCCCCCTCCCATATCAGAGAGGAGGACCAGGGCTCCAAGAAGGACCTCATCAGCTAACCTTGCCAGAAGGTGGGGAGTGGGTAGGAGGCTCTACTGTCCAAACCCCAGCTCCCTGCACTGCCCACTCCTCCCCCCAGCCCTGAGCCTGTGGGAGGATTGGGGAGGGAGGGCTTTTGGTCTGAATTCGAACATGGCACTGTGAGCCATTACAATAGACATTCCAGGATGACACCACGTGCATTTCTGAAAAACTTTGCATTCTTCAAAATCACACTCTAAAAATAATAGGAATTACAGGAGAATTAGGCTTAGAGGCAGCTACATCAAAATGAAGGGGTAGTCCCCAGATCACGCTAAGACCCTGATGATCCTTGTGGAAACACAGTGGTGCTGATGGACACCATGAGCACCAGGCTCGCCGTCCGTGGACCTCAGCGCTGGCCCCACTGCTGAAGACCGGCTCATCCGCAGGTGAAAATGACCCAGACAGCTCCTCTGACTTCAAGTGAGGGATCTTCTAGAATGCTGGCTTTCTTCACAAGACTTTTAGCCACGTGCCTATCTTTGACCTTGAGCTTTCTTGCTAGTGTGTGGATAGATCCTGCCCTTGGCAGGTGGGAAAGGCCGGGCACATTGCAGGGAGGAGGGTACCAGGGTCCATCTGTTTAAAAGGTGGTCCTAAGTGTAGTCTTTTTCATCCATAACTTCTTTTGTAACACAGAGGAAAGGCCTTTGTTTTGGTCAGCTCAAGCCAGGCCAAGCTGCATGACCACACGCACTCTCAGTGGCTCATGGTGGCACGGTCACTTCTTGCTCAGGTAACACAGCGGACTGGCTCAGCTGTGCTCTGGGTCTTCCTCATTCTGTGGCCCAAGCTGAAGATCACCCTAACTCCTGCACAGTGCTGGTCTCAGGCCGAGGGAAAAGGAAGATGGCAAGACCACAAGGTGACCCTTGAGGCCTCAGCTGAGCAGGAGCCCCTGTGGCCCGTGCTCCTATTCAGGGCCCAGATGAAGCCAGGTGTCAGGGCAGGACTCACCTCCTCCCACAGCGGGAGGCAGGGAGAGGTGTGTCTTCAGGGTTTCTTCCCCGCATGGCTGACCCTAACGCAAAGCCAATAGACTGCTGATCCTCTTCACTGGAAGCCACCTTTCTCAGGAAAGGAAGGCTTTGGTGCACAGTCTTTCTTAAGGCTCAGCCTGTGCCTTTTATTGTAGAAAGGGTGTTCTGAAAACACTCCTGAGCTCCCCCAGGTCTGAGGGAGGCTGCTGGACACGTGCAGGGTGGTGGGGATTGTGTGGGGTCCCTCCCCTACACTTTCCCTTTACATTATTTTTCTTGAAACAACCTTAATCTTCCAAAAAAAAAATGTCTAAATACACTACGAAGATACCTGCTTGAGGGCAGGTTGCAGACACAGGGCTCCACTGCATTTCCCTGCACAAGTGCAGCACAGCCACCAAAACCCGGGACCCTCCTGGGCCCCTGCGGCCAGCCCACTGGTCCCTCCAGCCTTTCAGCAATGTCCGTGAGAGCAAAAGGGTCTAGTTTAGAAATGCTCTGTGCATTTGGTTATCACACGTATTTAATCTTCTTCAGTCTGTGACAATTCCTGTGTCTTTCCTTGATTTTCTGTGACTTTGACACTCTGATGAGTACAAGCCAGTTATTTTGTAAAATGAGTCTCGATTTGAGATGACTGATGTTTTCTCCTGATGAAGCTCTTGCCTCTGACAAGACAATCACAGATGCGAAGCTGTTCTCCTCGCACCCGCCACGAGGCCCAGGGCTTGCTGGATTTCCATTTTCCTGTACTGGAGATACTAGCTTTGATCACTGGATCAAGGTGGTATAGCAAGTCTTCTCCATGCTAAAGCTACTCGCTTCCCACTGCAAATCGTAAGTATTGGGAGGATCTTAGAGACTATGTGAAGATTTCAGTTCTCATCAAACCTGTAATTTACTCATGGATCTCCGAAGGCTTTATAGATTCTCGCACTTCAGTGTCACGCACCAGGTTAGAATCCATTGCTATTGTTATTTTGATACTCAGTTGTCCCCGACCTGCAGTGGGACCTGCCTTTCCAGCTGGCTTCTTGGACCTTTGCCGGGTCGCCATCATTCCTCGTACACTCCCTCACTTTCTGCTGTCCCTCTTCTAGGTTGGTTGTGTTCCGTTTTGTCCCATCTTGACACCAGCCATCTCTCCAGGACCACTGGGCTTGTTTAGTGGAAGTGGAGGGCAGAGGCCAAGGCCTGTGCGTGAGTGTGGATGAGGAGTGCTCACTGCTGTGAGGGAGCTCTGTGCTCAGGCCTCCTGGTGGTGGCAAGATCTAGCAGACCAGATGCTTGACTTCTTCCTCTCGGTATTTACTTCTCCATGCATCCCTCTGTAGTAAAGAGGATCGTTCACACCAGGGCCTGCGATTCCAATCCACCACGCCCCTGGGTCCGTCTGCCTGGACTCAGCCAGTGACCAGCTGGGTCCCGTTTCCTTTGGTTATTGGCTTATTCTGTCAGTCTCCCTGATGGCCACATTTCCTGCTCACGCTGGTACTCTGCACCCGGAGGACCTG